CAATCTTCCTAATGCCATGACCCCCCAACCATAAAATTATTTTTGTTGCTACTTCATAACTGTCATTTTGCTACTGTTATGAATCGAGCAACCCCCTGTGAAGGGGGTTCGACCCCCAAAGGGGTCACGACCCACAGGTTGAGAACTGCTGATCTAGAACCAATATTACTGAAGGAAGTGCAAGCAACCCTGAAAACGTAAGTGAAAAACAGGGCTGCAGAACACCCTGACAGAACACCGGTTGTAATGTGTCCACAGGCTGATGAGGCCCTGAAAGCACCTACTCGTCCAGGCCAGAAATGTAGAAGAAAGCCACATGGCCGCCAACGGAAAACATCCATCCATATTCTTGCAGAACTCCAAAGAGTCTAGCAGAATGAGGAAATTATGGAACAACATCATTAGTGTAACACAGAAGTAAAATTTGGGTAAGATCATTCAAAGATGATCACAGCAGAACATTTACAAGGAACTGTCAAAAATTCAAACCAGACTCAAAAGAGAATGTGGAATGAAAGATAACCTTGCTGATACCAGATGCATCTTGACTAAAAGCAGAAATTATCCGAAACATTTTTACCTTGTTTTATTTGCTACAGAAAGGCAATCGGGTATATAAATCTTAACTTCCAAAACCATTGCAAATAATGAGAATTCCAGATCACTTAATTGTACTCGTGTGGAACCTGCATATAGACCAACAAGCAGTCATTCTAAGAAAACAAGGAGATACTCTGAGGTTTAAAATCTGGAGAGGTGTGCATCAGGGTTGTATCCTTTCACCATATTACTCAATCTGTATGCTGAGCAAATAATCCCACAAGTTCAAGTATATGAAAAGAAAACATGCCATCAGGTTCAGAGGAAGGTTCATTAACAATCTGCAATATGCAGATGACTCAACCGTGTTTGCCGAAAGTACAGAAGATTTAAAGCACTTAATGGTAATGAGCTAAGATTATAGGTTTGAGCATAAATTACACCTCAACATACTCTAAACAAAAATCCTCATAACTGGAACAGTAAGCAACATCATGATAAATGGAGAAAAGACTGAAATTGTCAAGAATTTCATTTTACTCAGATCCACGACCAACACCAATGGAATCAGTAGTCAAGAAATCAAATAGCTCATAGCATTCGGCGTATCTGCTGCACAAAATTTCTTTTTAAAGTGTAATAGATCTAAGATGTCAGTTTAAGGACTAAGATACACCTGATATACACTATCATATTTTCAATCACTTCATGTACATGGAAAAAAGCTGGACAATGAATATGAAAGACTGAAGAAAATTGATGCCTTTGAATTGTGATGTTTGGCAAAGAATACTGAATACCAAAAATTCTCCTTCCAAGTAAGGATGGTAAATTTCATCTTATGCATTTTGGACATGTTATCACAGGGGCCAAACCATTGAGAAAGACATCATGTTTGCCAGAGTAGAAGGTTAAGCAAAAGAAACATGAAATCCTTCAATGAGATGAGCTCACAAAGTGGCTACACCAACTTGACATATAACAATAAAATAATTATCTGAGTTGCTAAAAACCATACACTGAGCACAATGTTCTGGTAAATCTATGTAAGGTTAGTGTGTGTGGCAGTTACATAATCTGATATCAATTTGAGGATTAAGAGAGAAGGGATGGAGTCTATCCTGTCAATCAGGTGACAGCCAATGAGTCCCCTGTGTGGGCATGGCTCTCCAGTATTCCTCCTTGGAGGCAGGAGATACACTCTCTCTCCCTGAGAGATGTTCTACTGACAAGACACATGGCACTACGCTGATAGACCCCAAGCCCTGGAAACTGGAGGAGCCACATGGAGAACCCTGCCAGCGCTGAGATGGTTACACCACTGGATCTACAAGACTTCCCACCCACTGACCTGTGATCTTCCTGCATTCAGCGTCACTGCATGTGTTTTGGGAGTCTGAAGAGGACTTTATAAGTTGGTATTGGACCTATGGGCTAATACCGGACTTATGGACTTGATCTGGATTGGGCTGGGATGTTTTCTTAATGTACAATTACTCTTTGAGATAAAACTCTTTCTTACACATGTAAGTGTCCCTGAATTTGTTTCTCTAGTCTACCTGGACTAACACAGTGTGTAATTTAACGAATTTATTTTGATTGCCTATCTAATTTTACCTGGCATATTTCTCAGGAGCTTTGCATTGCACATATGTCCTTTTCGTATGTCAGTAAGGATATATTCCATTCGTTTTGCCCTCCAGAGGAAATTAAATACTCTTAGGTAATGGCTCATACATTCTCGAGTAAATACCTAAAAAGAACAGCAGAAGACAAGTTTATAGCATTACACTACAGAAGAATATCTAACACAGGTCTCAATTTTTTTCTTCTAAAAAATTAAATCAGCAAAAGGCAACTCTAATAAATTCTAAGTAGCATGCAAGCAGTTAATATAATACATTTTAGAAAAGTATCATTCTATAAAATAAATATTTATCGAATATTTATGTGCCAAGGAATAGTTTAAGGAAACTTGCAGTATTAGAAAGCATGTATTCATTTTACTCCGTCCCACAATCAAAGTTCACGGAAGCATTAATCAAGACATCAAATGGCAAAGTCATAGCAGAAGGGCCCTTTAAAGTCCTTAAGAAGCAAAGAAGCCACTTGCAGCCTTCACACCTGCCCCAAGCTATGATACTGTCAATTGCCACATACACATGAAAAGGCTGGACAGTGAATAAGGAAGACGAGAAGACTAAATGCCACTGGATTATGGTTTCACAGAGAATACCATGCCTCCCAAAAGAACAAACATCTTGGAAAAGTTCACCCAGATGCTTCTTTACAGCCAGAGCAGTGAGTGTTTGTTTCATGCATTTCAGGCATGCTATCAGGTAGGATCAATCTCTGGAAAGGGCATTATGCTTGGTAAATGAGGGCACATGAAAAAGCGGAAGCCTTCAACAACAAGATAGGCAGACACCGGGCTGTAACAATGAGCTCACACATAGCAATAACCCTGAGAATGATACAGGACCAAGCAGGGTTTCAATTCTTTTTTGGGGGGAGGTGGCCAGTGCACACTGAGATGGACCGACTCAACAGCACCTAACATTATTCACCATTTTATGAAGTGACAATTTTAAACCTAGCTTCATTTTAGTCTACAATGTGAACTCAACTATAATTCCAAATGTAGAGCAAGTTGTTCCCTACCCTCAATCACCACCCGAGAGATATATGAGATAGGACTACACTTTCTTCTGAAACAATAGCTCATTATGGTAGTGAATCTCATGGTGGAAAGCCTAAAAGAATTTTCAGACTGAAAAACGTTCTCCTGATTATTCTAATATATTTATTGCTTTTGAATACTTCCTTTCAGTGTAAAAGTGACAACACCAACTAATTAAAGTAGAAAAGGAACACATTTAAAATGAAAAATTAAATTTAAAAGGAAAAGAAAGCAAAATTATTTTCTTCCAAACTTTAAAAGTATTTTTAACACAATAGTCCTCTTTATCTTCCTAGTTTTTGTTTACTACTGCACATGATTTAATTTTTTCTCTGAAAATTAAAAGTATTTCAATTTCTAATATTAGTCTGAGTCTTTCTGACTATAGAGTAACATAATTATCAATACACCAATTAAATTAAAAGCATACCCAAACCAGCACATAACCTAACCCTATAATTGAAAGAGCAAATACCAGATATCCACTGGAACTGGCAAATTGACCTCTATTGGCATTATTTCTATCCTAAGTTTGTACAAACTTCTATGTTTGCATCTTTCTACTAATCAGCTTTATAAAAATCTAATATTTACCATCATAGCAATATGCAAATAATCGCTTATGCCAAAGATATGGCATACATTTAATATTTCTAGAAAGATCTTCAATATTATTCAGTATTTCACAAACAGCCCATTTTCAGCTTACTACAATTATTGTCCCACGTGTGCTTAGATCAATACTATTTGTGAAGACAACTACGTGTTATGAAATAATCAAGGTAATTGACTTTCTTATGCTATTTTTATACCAGGGCAATAATATGCAATATCTACAATGCTAAAAGGGCAGGAAGTAAAGTTTCTAATTTTAAAAATACCATTTGTGTTATAACTATTTAAAACTGCTTAGGATATAAATCAAAGGACAAAAGACATGTTTGAGTATGACAAAAAAAATAAATTTAAGAGAAGTTCTACCTTTAAAATACAGTAGCTATAGCCTGGCAAAGTTTAAACATTGGGAATTTATACATAAGATATGTGTGTCAATAGCTAACATTTCACAGGAGATAGATCTGTCGATGGCACAGCTATTAACCCATAGGTAAAAACAAGCTAAGTATCCTCTATAATATTCTTCTAACAGAAGGTAAGATTTACATTTTGAGGTGCATGGGGAAGCAGTCATGAGTAGGACCATATTTTAGAGATAAATGATAATACTTAATATTAAAATATTTGCAATGTTTTAAAACGCAATTTGCCTTTTCAATAATTGATATACAAATAACTAAAGCCAATTCAGAGCGATATCTTTGTCAATGAGAATTTATTCAAGTGTGACCAAAGGAGAAGCCAGCAGTAAGAAGGAGCACTTTAATTGCAGATATATAAAAAGACAACTCTGCTGGTCCATCTTTTATGATTTGGTAACTGCTAAAAGAAATCCTACATTTATTTATGTATGGTAAAAGCACTAAGAACAATAGCAAGGCCATTTTCTCATCAGATTAAATGAATAATAAATATCAAATTTTATTTAAGTACTAAAAATACAATTCCCTAAAGTACAATTTACTTTACAGGTCCTTGCAAATTATCCTAAATTAGTTGCTACAGTTTAATAATGGAACAAAAAGAATAATCCTTTTATGAAGTAATTGGTGAATTCTATACTAGAACAAATGATATTATTGAGAATTCTTAAAATAATAGAGCATCTTAACACTCCTTAATGAAAATGCGCACATACAATTTTGGCTTAAGTATTCATTCAGTGGGCATACCCCAGATGTCAAGTGATCACTTTAATGAGGACTTCTTCGAGAAGCCAATCTTCAAACAGCAAAGCGTTTAGCACTGTACATAGCAGTGCACACATAAAATAATCATGATAATCTTACAGTTGCAATTGGTCCATCGACGTGATAGTCAAGGCTGAACACGTCCCACCCCGTGTCACCTGGAGAGACCTGAAACAAAAGCCGAACTGCAGGTAACTGCAGCACTTCCTACAAGTGCTGTGCATGTACTTGTCTATTCATCAGAGAAAACGCAGCACTCTCTCTGAAGACTGATTAATATTTTTGACTGTGTAGTTGTAGGAGAGCAGGGAATCACATCATCTTTTTTGTCAATTCCTGTATTTTTAACATTTAGACAATGACTCAAGCTAGAAGGAACAGATATTTTTAATGAATACTGTAATTACATATTTAAAAGTAATCACATCTATACTACCAAAAAAAACATTGCTTTATACCACTCTTCAAATTCTGAAAAGTCAGTATTTTAAGAAAACAGATTCCATAATGACCCTTTCTTATAACTAAGTAAATAATAATGTTTCTATATCCATGCCCCTAAGAAAAGTTACCTTACACCAAACTAGAACTAAAAACATGCTATTTTGAGAAATAAATATTATATAGCATCTGTTGGGCTTCCTATCAAATGCTCAATTAACAGTAACTATGATTTACTAAGCATTATATATGTACTACCAAGGACTTCAAATTTTCTGTACTTTCTCGAGTTTAAACCTAACAATCATGTTAAGTTCTTTGTCGTCATCTTTTTGATATGAGTAAACTGAAATAGTGAAGTTCCAATATGAAGTGACTTGCCTAAGTTCACATATCACCTTTCAGTGTTGGCATTCAAACTCAGGTTGTCCAGCCTCCAAATAATGACTGTTAACACTAGATCAGCTATATATTAAATAACATGAAAAATGCCAGTTACAACACTCTAGTCTGAGAGATCCATTACCCCAGAAAAGTGTCACTTCAAACAGAGAAAGTAACAATACCTCCAGGAGCCTAACATCCAGTCTTTTGAGAATTTCAGGACTGTCAAATTGTGCGTTGGTTGCTCGGACTGCAGTTTCCAGAATTCCAGTCAAGTTATGTTGATACAAAGTAGTAGCTGGACGGACAAGCTCTGGTCTAACAAATATTTTTTAAATTACAGAAAATGTTACTTTGTCAATGAACTTGAAATGTAAATACTACAAAAAGTAATCATTACAATTATGGGAATCCAGAACAAAAATGGGACTAAAACCTCAATATGGTAGGACATAGTTCATAGCATTACCTGGAAATTACTAAGCAAAACATTATAGTAAAATCTAGGGGGGGGGGAAATTTTGATTCAGTTTATATTGAAAATAATTACATGTGCTATACATATTAGCAAATAAAATTTTCAAAGTTAAGACCATCTTATGAGTAATAGAAGTTACTATGAGTTCTGTTATGAGCTCCAATAAGAAGAGAAAGAAATCATCAGTTAATAAACTAATTTAAGAATGGCTGCATTATCATAAAGGTTACTGGTATCTGCATTTCTAAGGATTTATCTTATATACTCGAGTATAAGCCAACCAGAATATCAGCTGAGGCACCTAATTTTACCACAAAAACTGCATTAAAACCGTGATGAAAAACTCGGCTTATACACAAGTACGTATGGTAATAGCATTTCTCTGATCAAAATTTAATCACATTTAGATTATATAGTTCATCCTAAAGCATACAAAGGGGACTCAAAACTATGTGGGAACATTACATTATTTTTTAACTCCACTTTGGCAGGAACGTTTTGAAACCCCTAGTACATATAAACCCTAACAATTCAAAGTCCCTTGAAAACAAATTTGCCCATGAGAGTGAAATGTGCAGAGGCCAGGTAAAAAAGGATACACATTAACTTTTCTCAATGAAGCAAACTGAAGACTTATGAAAAATTTTAAAACACCTTTGAGAAAAAAACCTTTTTTTTTATTATAAAACTGAGATGCTCTAAATATTCACAATTAGCAAGAGGCAAATGTTACATCACTTAAATGAGCAACAAAACATGTTATCATGGACCCAGAAATGACTTAGTAATCTCTATATGGGTCAACTCCTTCACCCACACTTTCCCTCACAATAACTTAATGAGTTATTAAGTTATTTGTATATCCCACACCCTAACATATACTCACATTTTTAGCCCTATAAAATTTAAAGTACGTTTTATCCCTTACAAGTCATCAACACTTACACTTCAAACAGGTATTGATCTCATGACCAGTAATTAACTCTATATACAGAACACCTCTTCTTTAACGTGCACAATATAATCACAAAGCATTCTAGGTTTAGCAGATAAACAACTTTTACAAACTGATCTAACAATATGAGTGTCACTCATAAACATATAGAAAAAGTTTAGCTGCTGGTCCATGTACCTCAGAACACTATTATTTTTCAGACTGAAGATCGACTACGGTTAGAAGATAAATCTATAATAACTTATTATAATGCTTTGTTATGTATATTTTGCCACAATTTGAAAAAAAGAATTACACTAATATCAATGAGTACTAGGATAAAGAAAATGTTTTAAAAAATGATTGTAGTAATGATTGTACAACTCTTCTTAATATGAATGAACTATTGAGTTGTATGATATGTAGATGAAGTACCAATAAAATGGTTTCCAAAAAATAAGTTATTATATAATAGCTTATGTGTTTAACACAGTGGTTCTCAAAAAGTGGTCTCTATACCAGCAGTTTCGTCATCAATTAGGAACACGTTAGAAATGTAAATTTTTAAATCTACCCTACATCTACTGAATTAAAAACACTGGACATGAGGTTGTAATATGTTGGAAACAACTCAATAACAGTTGAGTGACTGTGGGCACAGGGCCCCATCTCCATTGTCCTATGTTTGGCGATGCGCATGAACTGTGAGAAACAAAGGCGTAAAACAATTGGCTGGTTATCCCAGGCATAATTTAAAGGTAACTTAGTATTTTAAGGGTCCTAATGGAACATAAAAAATTAATAGCATAAGCTACTCTTATGTAAAATCACCATGTGAAATCACCCTGTCATGTGTTGTGGCCCCTATGTCTGCATTCAACTCCCCAACATTGCCCATGTGGCTCGGGGCAGCACCCCTTGATCAGGATCATTTTTACAGACAGGAGCATAATGTGCTGTTACTCAGAGCTGTCTGAGTCTCCGCGGATGAGGGAAGAACATGTCAGATGCCATGAGAAATGTCAGAGTGGCACAGGAGGAAGGAAGAGGTAAAATTATTTTTTCTGACATGAAACAACATAAACTAAAAACACAGAACTAAAAGTTGTTTCAAGTACAGATTTTTATTTTCTGGTTAATTTCAAAGTAACACTTAAATGTTCATTTGAATACATTATATACTTCCTATAGATCAAAGTTTTAAGTGCCAGTGTTAACAAGGAAAATAAATATTTACTATTAATAAAGCATCGCAAGAAATTTACATGCTTTGCTATCGCCACAACAAAAATAAATGGGAATATTAACTTTTAAAATTTTTCTTAAAATTTTTAATTTTGTTTCTTATTTTAAAAATATGTTCTGTTAAAATTCCACTCATTCTTAATGCCATTTATTCTTCAAATAAATATTCCAAAATTATAAGATCTTTTCAGGTTAACACTACCCTACATTTATGAAATTCAAAACAGATAGTTTCCTTACTTTAGTAAATCCATCAAGTGTCTTATGAAATCTCCTTGACCCAGAAGTAAGTACCGCCTCATTGCCTGCATGTGGTCCAGCAAGCTATATTTTTTATTGAGAACATCCAATAGATATTTGCTGGTCTCAAAATAAGCTGCATCAATTTTTCCCTGAAATGCATTTTCTAAATCTGTGAATAAATCCGCAGCTGTAAAGAGCAAAAGATAAAAGAATACTTACACATGTTATTTGAATTTTAACAAAGGAAACCTGCAAAAAAGCGTGCACATACAAGTCAATACCAGCACCTGTAAAATGGAATCAATAACAGACTAAGCGCAAGCTGCATGCGGTATTCTTATCTGGAATACAAAGCAGAATGACGACACGGTGAAACTGAAACCTCCTAAAGAGCTGAACTTACAACAGACGTGTATGTGAAAGCATTAAAGATTTCTTTAGCAAACCCTTAATAAAATCTGTCAGCAAAAAAGATGGCTGCCTCTATGCCACAACATGAACATGTTTCTTCTCTGACTATGATAAAAAGAAATCAGCCAAAGCGTTGATGAGCAGAATGGATCAACTTACAGTGTTTATTTACATAGGTATAGAAAACATGTTATAAAACTCTAAATTTCATTTAACAAAATATTAACACTTGAACTAGAAAATGATCAGTGTTGAGGAACAGCCTAAGAGAGAAGGTAAACTTGCTCAAAGCTAAGCAAGCGTAAGGAACAGAGGCAAAGCGAATAGATTTCATGTGTACGTAAGTCTGTTTCTACTACCTGAGTTGGCAAATGTGAAAGTATCAGAAGACTTTAGGATTATTTGGGAGCTATTTTTTATTTAATTTGCGCCATTAAGAAAGCCCATTTTACTTTTGTTGCTATGCCAACTACACACTAGCCCAGAGGTGTGGGTTTCCTCAGTGGCACCAAGGAGAAGGGTCTAGTGACCCACCTCTTCAAAGAGCAGTTCTGCTGACACATGTTGGGGTCACCGTCAGTCAGTTAACTTAACACAAATAGCTTGTTCTGGCTTTCTGCCTACGAGAAAACTAGAGTATCCACAGTCAAAGCTAGAGTACCCAGAGCACTGTTTTCAAGAGGAAAACAAAACCTGGCTGACACCATGAGCGTACTTGATGTTAATGTCTGAGGTGGCAGCAACATAGAGCTGTAACTACCATCAGTCGGACTGGCGCTCATGTCGCTGTGGTCCTGGGAGCGATGCCCCCAGGATGGCAAAGCCCAGAGAGGTCACCCACAGTGGGCAGGTTTCAGAGGAGATTACAGACTGTGAAAAGGGAAGAGCTAGTCACTGCTGAGGGGCGACGCACTGGACACCTTATGAAGAACAGTGGCTCGTTGTCAAAAACAGCGGCAGAAAATGAGCCCTCAGGATGAAAGCACTCAAAAGATGACCAGGGAAGAGCTGTCTCCTTCAAGCAGAGTCAACCTTAAAGACGTGCCCGGAGCCCAGCTACCCAGATCTTTGCGTGCTGAACTCAAAATGAGAAAGACAGCAACTGCAAGCGTCCATTGATAGGTGGAGCATTCGATGTACAAAGCACGAGGCAGGGAAAGCTGGAAATCATGAAAAATGGAACAAAACTCGAAGATGAACATCTAGGCATTATTGAGCTTAAATCGACTGGCACTGGCCATTTGAACAGGACAATCACGGGGCCCACGACGCAGGACATGGCACATTCACAAGGACAGTGTCACATGTATCATCAAAATAAACTTTAAGATCTATCTTGAAGTGCAATGCTGTCTGCAACTCAGCTGACGGTGACTCGGGGACCGAGGAGAACTGCCCTTTGGGTTTCTGAAGCTCGAAAGGTTTGATGGAGCATACAACCTCATCTTTCTCTAGAGTAACGGCTTTTCTCTAGAGGCAGTGGTTCGCAACCTTCCTAAAGCCATGACCCTCGACCATATAATTCTTTTCACTGCTACTTCATAACTGTAGTTTTGCTACTGTTATGAATCGTCATGTAAATATCTGATATGCAGGATGTATTTTCATTGTTACAAATTGAACATAATGAAAGCATAGTGATTAACCACAAAAACGATACATAATTATATATTATGAAATATTTATTTCTAATTACAAATAAATGAAATTTTGTCTTGAAGCATGGTGTAGCGTGGCTAACAGTCTTCATGCCGGGTACTTGCATATGAGCATACCTGTATGTGGGCGGACACACCCAGAGACGGATAAAGGAGCGGTGTAACCGTGCCTAAGACCATTGGAAATATGTGTTTTCCGGTGGTCTTAGGCAACCCCTGTGAAAGGGTCATTCAACCCCCAAAGGGTTCATGACCCACAGGTTGAGAACTGCTGCACTAAGGCATCAGGGTTCCTTCAGGAGCCACCAGTCCCTGGAAAAGGGCATCATGCTTAGTAAAATACAGAGTTATCAAAAAAGAAGACCCTCGATGAAATGGATTGGCAGGGTGGTTCAACAATGGGCTCAAAACAAGTCTGAGGCTGGAGGGAGCAGGACTGGGCACTGTCTTGTTCTGTTGTACATCAGGTCCCTATGAACCAGAGCTGACATAAGGACACCTAAAATCAAGAACACAGTTTTAAAAACAGAAGTAATGTCCCTCAGAAATGTTTTTATTTTATTTAATGTTTTGTTCTATCAAGTATTGTCATCTCAAAGAAGAGGTCTAAAATTGTAACAAGCTTTAGTCAAGAGCGGTCTATTTGAATTAATAAAATTCAGAGAGTCCTTGTGAGTTACTTGTTTCATAATGTTTTAGGGGCTACCTAATAGTCCAGTTTTTAAAAAATGTACCTTCTTTATTCACAATTTTAAATATTCAAGAATTTTTTCAGATAAGCAGTATGAATTAACCTTTTTCTGTTGGGCTGCTAAGCACAAGGTAAGCAGATGAAACCACCAGCCAGCGCTCATCTCCCCATGAGAAAGACGGTGCGTTCTACTCCCAGAAGCAGTTGCAATCCCAGACACCCACAGAGGCAGCTCTGCCCTGTCCTGTTGGGTTCCTCTGAGTCGAAATTGACACCAAAACAGTGAGTCTGGTTTGAAGTTTGTTGGGGTTTGTACTTTTAGTTCTGGGGTTTAAATCTTTTATCTACCCAGCTACAATACAAACGTAAGAAAACCCTTCTCCTCAACAGCTATTGGTACCAGTGAATGTGATGACAGCAATAGCTGCTAAAAGGAGGGGGGAGAGAAGTCGTACTCAATAGTTGGGAGTTATTTCTGTACCATCAGTTTCCACTTTAAGCAAGTGCTTTCCAAATCTCTAAATCCTCTCATTGTCTTTATCGGGAGCTTCTGTACAGCATTTCCAAGTCATCTCCACTTTCAGCTACTTAAAATTTCTCCAAACAGAAAAATCATCTCTCTCCATCTGCTCTGATTCCTAAATTGTTTCCCCCTTCGTGTCATGTGCTCAACGTTTTAGTGTAGTCTTCAACTCGCTTCTTTCCTGCCTCTCTTCTCAAAAGACCTACAGAATCTTTCATCCTTGCCTAGCAATCGCCATTTCACTGATATCCATTACAAAAACATCTCTAATAACATGCTAATTTATCTATCAAGTTCTAATCACTCCCTCACTAACATTTTATGTAAACAACATGTATAGTATATATATATAGTCTTTACAACCCCCCCCCACCCGTGTTAGTTTCATATACACACTACATGCATCACATGCATGGAAAAAATGGCGTGGAGGCCAGCCAGGTCAATCAGGCTACAGACTAACTGCACGCCAGCCCAAGGCCACTTGTCACTCGGTAGAGGTCAGGAATCCATCTACCCTCCCCTCCTTTACCCTATTCTGACACCACCTCTCCATCTTAGAGCAGAGCAGAGTCTCCTCTGCTGGGTTCCATAATTTGTTGCAATGGCCACACTGAACTTACAGAGAATACACAGGATTATGGAGTTTTATCTGAAAAGTTCACCAATTACCACAAGTCAGGATCAAAGAACACTAAGGAAACCGTCTTCTGCCCACAGCAACACTTCTTTTGAGTGGTGCACAGCAACCTGTGCCCAAATTCTACCCATTCTTCAAGGATCAGTTCAGTTACAGCTAACTCCTAGCTTGTAACTAGAAGTCTGTAACTAGGTTATAAACTTCTGACTTACAGACGACTCACATTTCCCCTCACTTTAAAAAGACTGAAGCAAAACCCAAAGAACTCACTGCCATTAAATGTATTCCAAGTCGCAGGACCCTACATTTACAAAATCATCACCACAATGACCTCATTGGTTGCACATGCACTTTTCAAGTCACTACAAAGATGTCGCAAATTTTCCTACATTAAAATAGGGCTAAATTAAGAACCACATGGACCTATCGTAAAATGCCTACAATTTCAGTTTAAAGATGCATTTATGAGTGTATCTGCGGCATAACCCAGGAAAGCCTTCATGGCTGTTCCTTCACGGCTGTCCCGGCTGCCTGGCCTGGAAAAGCCTGATGCACTTAGTCTACACATCTTATTTCATCACTTTTACTGTTTACCATTGTATTGTTCTTATTTCCATTATTGTACTATAAGCTCGCTGAAGGCAGAGAATTTGTATCTTCTCTGTGCAAAGTAACTTTGTTGAATAAATCAAGAAAACAATATCAAAAGAAAATATAATCAGGACAGGAAAGCTGTCAAAATAAGTCAGCCAGTACACAAAACGTCATGAACTCATTGAGGCTGGAGCAGAGAGAAAATGGGGAAACAAGGGAGCAATAGAAGAATGAGGGAAAATAAGAGCACTTCTAAAGCAGGCAGCAATTTCACACAACATTCTGGACACAATAAACACGAAATCTTTGCTGATTACTGAATGAATCCCAAAGCATTGCTACCATTAGCAAAAATGTTCCTTTACTTTCAGATTGGGGCAGAATAATTATCTAAAAAGTAATACAAATTACTGAAAAGGCCAAACAGTTCTTCTAATATTTACTACTTTATTCTATATAAAAATGGAAAATATTGTCATAGTAATAGTCACATACTAAAGTGCTTCAGATGAAAATTCAAATAATGTCCAAACACATCTGAAGAAAATACAAGTACTGATATCAGCATTATCATACCATCCTTGGGTGAGTCTGCAGACTTGGTCACAGCTATCATCTTTGTAGTTGGTGTTTGATCATGACAAACCTGATGCAAGAAATTGATTGATTTTCCTATCAAAAGGACCTAAAGCAGAAAACATTCTGTGGTGATCATTATACAAAATTAAAATGGCAAATTCTAGAAATGTTATAGCTATTCATAAGCTACACATTGGCTACTGATTTAAAATTCAATAATAAATGTACTCGGTACTAGTAGCAAATGAATTCTAATAATGTACAAATCATATTAATATGCCACCATATTCAATTAATATAAAATTCACCTTAATAGTTAAAACATACAAAAGTGCTACAGAATCTGATTTAGAATTTAATCACAATTATCAGGTAAGCAGAGTACTAAAAACATCTCTTCAGCCTTACCTTTCTAGATTGATCCATCGTAATAAATGAGGGAATCATTGATTTCCTTAAAGTATACTTGTCGTGCCATAGTCTGTCTGTCTTAACTGTTGGATCCGATGCTACAAAAAACTGAACAAAAAATGGCACCAAAACATTAAAAAGAGGTATTTAAGGCACAATTAACAAGCCAGTAGTATAAAGATATAAGTGATTTCAGAAATCCAACTTGTTCAAATATGGGGAGAAATACCCATTTATATAGTAATACTTATTTAAAAAGTATTTTGTCTGAAAATCTCTTCAAATGGAATTATGTCTTTCCCAAATACGGAAAACCAAAGTAAACAACTACAGCTTCTTGATCTAAGCCTCAGAATCGAAGGGCTGAAACAGCTCTGCCCGACCACAATAAATCCGCTCAGACTGCAGGAGGGTTGGAAGTTTTCTGTTGTCCATTCTAATACTCGGCAGACTCTCTTCTGTTGGGGTGCCTGTCCTCCGCAGCCTCACTTTTGTAGGGCCCTGAAGTCTGGAACCCAGGAAAGTATCAAAGGATCTAACATACCATCTTCCCTTACACACCTCTTGTACATAGACCACGACTACAAGACTTTGGCTTCAAATGACCCAAACATCTGAATGGCCGGCAGCAGGAAATCAAGTAAGTGCACCACAAAAGTGTCCTTGTTTTCTTAGTTCTACCAAGATCCCATTAGTCCTCGAGAAGTTTCTCCCTGTCCACTGTGCTTCTCGCCTTCCCTGATCCCAGCGAACCTTCCGACTTCAAATATGGCAACAAGTGACAAGGAATAAATTAAATGGTTATTCTTTACAATGTATTTGACACTAAAACGATGATGCAATTCTAATTTTTTTGGTCATATCTCTATAGGCAAGAGATCTAAAAGCAAAATTATTAAGTCAAAGTAATTTTTATTTTTAACCAATTATCAGGAATTTTCACTTTTTACAAGATTTTCTTTTCAAATAGGTGTGCCAATGGGCATCATCAGCAAAATGCTCTATCATTTTGTGATCTTGTCTTTCTCATTTCTGACACAGAAAAATATGAGTACTCAAATGTATATTATGAATCTAGTACGACATTACCAAAACCTGAAAAAATTATGCTAAAAATGTAAACTGGCTCCATTTCTGAAAACAGATGAGCCTGAAAAAAATGATCCATGGATTGTTGGAATGAAATATTCTTGATATAATGCTATCTGTCCAAATGTAAGAAATAAAACTATACAAACATAAAATATTACCATGCAGTTATTAAAATTATGTTGTTTCTTAACTACCACAGGCCCTTCTGAAAATTGAATGAGAGTGCAAATCTTCTTGGCAGGGGAGGCGGATGGCGGCACACAGAACAAGAAACTGCTACACCCTCCTGATCATGTATTCACAATGCATGAGACAAGGGCTTGCCATCCTTGTTCTTAAGTACTTCTGAGACAGATGTTTGTTCTTCTGGAAACCCCTAGTACGTTCAATATTTTCTACCAATAACATAATTCAAACGCATCGATTTTTCTCGGGTCACCCCCATTCAGCTTGCATACATCCTAACTGTACATGCATACAACCACAAAATATACATTTTTCATATACAATTTCAGGGATTTCAAACATCCCATGTTAAGAACCCTTGAGACAAAAAACTAGTATTTAATGGCTATTCAGTACTTCTAAACAAACAGAAAAACCAAACTCACTGCCATCAATTTGACACTGACTCATAGCGTCCCTATAGGGGTGGGTAGACCTGCCCCTGTGAGTTTTCGAGACAGTAACTATTCAACAGGAGTAGAAAGCCCAATCTGTCTCCCAAAGAGCAACTGGTGGTTTTGAACTGCTGACCTGGCGGACCGCAGCCCAACTTGTAACAACCAGGCCAGCAGGGCCTCCTCTCCAAGTAAAAAAGCAATAAATGTTACAAAACACAATATTATGTGTGATGCAACTAAATGGTGATGTCAACCAATCATTCTGAATAGGCACATAATAGATGAACCTGAATAGAATGGAAGAAAAGCACAGAGCAAAACTGAAATAAAAATGATAAAAAATTTACTGAACCAAGTGAGCCCCCAAGTCTGTCTCCCTTTAAACCTGGAACGGAAACCAATGATGGTTTATTTTTTTTCTTGGAATTTTTTTAAGCTCTTTTTAATTTAATCCTTCTAAGTAATGGCTAGATGTTCTCAATTAGGTATGGCCAATCTCCTTTAAAAGTCGACATATGAATAAATGCCAAAAATTTTATCACCACAGGGAAGAGATTACGACATTGGTTTTCAACTAACATTTCTAGCATTTAAGTTTCTATCTAAATTAGTAAAGCATTAACTGATCTTTACATTTTAGTCTTTTAAATTTATATTTCTTTTCTAATTGCAAATATATAAATAAAAACTGTTGAGGGATAAACAAAGTGTTACAATGGGGCTATTATCATTGTGATACATAATTTGATTTACCTACATTGAAAATTTTTAACTTTATTAAGCCTACCATGAATAATCTTAACCTAACTTTGCTGGGGTTGTTCTATAGCTTGCCATACAACATATTAGATTAACTGCATATAAATTATATTTATACTTTTCACTTAAACAGAGGAGCTAGTTTTTTACAGACAGCACACTAATTTCCCTGATACTTAGCGTATAGCTGGATTTTTATCAGTTTGAAAATACAAAAACTAATTTAAAAAAGGAAAAATCTCAGACAATTCAGTCATTTCATAAGTGATAAAAGCATTATTTTATGTAAGGGCAAAGTAGCATGTAATTACTCTACTAGCAAACATCTAGTAGCAAACACAAAGAGGCAAAGATATATTAAGATTATAATTAGTCCTGTGAAAAATATATAGCTACAGAGAAGGAAAAAATCAAGGTCAGAATATAATTGCGATATGCTTTTATTTTATTGATGCATTTTTCCACTCAAGGTTCTTTAATTTTCACCATTATGTCAAACACAGAAAGAATTGAAGGGGAAGAAAAAAACATAATTGTGCCATGATTTCTCATTAACTGTTGGACAAATGCCAAGGTCTCCCTACTAAAAACAGAAATAAAGAGGGTAATTTTCTTAGCAAGCAACTTAGTTTTTAAGAATCAGATCCATTAATATGGACTATAAAAGATCCCAACTTCAACTTGTCAATCATATAAGCAATACCAAGGAAAGATTTCTCTAAAAGTCACACCCTGATATAACAAAATCACACTGGAACAAGAGGATGGGTAAACTGGTCAGTTCATTTGTAAGAAACATGATACCTGACAAGGCATACAGATAAATTACAATGCACAGGAAAATGAGGATATAATGCCCAAAAGGTACACTACTTAAAAATAGTACATGTTTTAATTTTAATAATTCCTAGTAAAATGAGCACAAAATAAGAAGGGGACACAGCATTATGTAAGCTTACTGTCCTTTAAGTCCAAGAAGTAGACTTTAAGGTATGAGTAGAATATTTAAATAAACAAGTAAAACAAGTCTAAAATTTCTCTAATTTTGAAAGCATGACTTTTGTTTTACATCCACCCTCCCATAAATTTCCCAAGTTTACACTAAGGGGGAAAAAATGAAAACAAAAGTTCACATTGAGTTATTATATTCTTAACTTGAACATACTGCCAAAATGTTTACCTCATGCAGCAGCTCCCAAAATGCAAAACCTGAGTTTTCTGATTGCTCTTATCTGACTCACAGCCATCCTCTGGTTACAAAATAGGAGTATACGGTTTTCCCAGCTGTAATTCTTTTTGCTATTATTACCACATAGTAGAGGGTTTTTTGTGTTTGAGAGGTAGCATATTGATAGCTGCCAATGTAATTACTTTTTCTGGCTTAGAAATATCAGCTCCAGCAAACAAAGTAAAAATTAAAAAAAAAAACTAGTCTGTATTATTGAGCACTTAAGGGTGGATCCAAGCCTATGTTAAGGTTTTTGCATATTATCTATCACTGAAGCAGCATTGTTAAATCAATTATTTAATAACGATTTGAGACACAAAGAGATTAGGTCAGTATGTCTCCAACTGAGTGCTTTTCCTACTGCTTCACCTGCCCTTATCCGTGACTACAGACATGGGCCACCACAGAAGCCTCTAAGGATTTTACCTGATGTATTTTTAAAGGCCACTTGTACTTATATTCTCTTTAAAGCATGCTGCCCCTTGACTCCTGTCGAGGGATTGCCAGGCATGCACAGCTGCTCCAGAGAAACCTTCTGTGGTCTGATTTAAGAAGAAGAATATGAACCAGCCAGATTGTTTTCTTGGATTTTAGCTGTAATCTTAATGAACACAAATCATCACCAGGCCTATCTCCAGTGAAACCACTGGGCAGATACAAACTGCCCAGGTTAGCAGTTAAACATTATTAATAATTTCATGCCAACTTGAATTTGTATGAAAGTATAAAGATGGAGTCCAACCTGTCAATCGTCACAGCCTGAGTGTCCCTCCTTGGGGGTGGCGCTTTGTTACAAGGGAGAAACTAGAAATTTGTCCCCTCTCTGTGCCCTTTTGCCTGCCTGCATGTCATGTTTGCACCAACCTTGGACCTACTCAACTCTGTACCCATCAGCCTGTGCTCTCCCTGCATCCTGCTTCGCCTTTCGGCACCACTGGCCTGCAGCTGTGTGAGTGTGAAAAAGGACCCCGGCTAGCATTAGACTTAAAACTTGAGTTGGACTGGGGTGGGATGCCTTCTAGATATAAGATAGCTTCTTGACACAAAGTCCTCTCTTATACATATATGAGTATCACTGGTTTTGTTTCACTAGACAACCCAACCTAACAGAGTAACCAACAGGAACATTTGATTTTCTTTCATTTTGCTTTTATAAAAACAAAAATAATTAGAAACTTTCCTTTAAATTTCAAAGTACTTTTAATACTACCAGCCATTTATGTTCAGGGCCTAAACTCTTAAACTCTACATTACAGGATATGAATTATAACAAGATAAAAAGTTGAAAAGTATAATAATAGAAGCAAATGGCAAAAGATAATAGTATACAAGAGCGCTTCAAAACATCCGTGGAAAGGATATTAATAATGGTTGTACAGCATAAAGAGTATAATCAATAGCACTGA